AAAACCCTCGTAAAAATTAGATACCTTGTATACATGCGACAAACTATTTTATTGAAAAAAAAAAATATAATAAATCAACACCCCAAATATGTATACAAATATAGGTTTCTTTCAACATTATTATAAGTATCGATGGACTGCTATGCTAAAATTTTTAGAGAATGTTAAAAATTTCCATCGCAACTCCTTTAAACCACTCAGTTTTTTAGATCTTCACAACGAGAAGTTATGCAGAGTTTGATCTGAGAAGCTCAATACGCCCAAACTCGTCACAAGTAATATTTTTAGAAATACTTATACATAACTTTTTTAAATTTTAGTATTGATCTAAAAGTAGCTATTCTTTCATGTCTCAGCATTGAAGTTTTATCGAATATTTGAATTTTTTTCTAAAGAATTTTACATGTCATATTTTACCTTTGAAGTGTTTAACTTTATTTTAAGGTTTTTGTAGTAGCTGCTAAATTTTTGTCAAATAAATGGATTTTTACGAATATGTTTACATATATTTCATTTTCATATCCCTAAACGGCGCGTCGTGCCAGTATTATCCAGATGTATATGGTTTATACTATAAACAATATATTTGTGTGCTTATTATGTGTTTTTTAAAGAGTGCCAGTTAGGCACATTCCGCCCGAAATTGACAGCCACCATATTGCGCCTGACGAAGGGTTAAAGGCATTCGAAAGAATTTACTAGAAGTCACAAATACTTATACCTACAGGGTTTTCAGTGGCCATCGTATTGAACTTAACTTATCAAGAACTGAGTAGATAAGTATCTACGCTAAACTTAAGAAGCTTTTTGAAGTGCTATGTAATTGCTGAGCAAGACCTTCAAAAAAAGAAGTAGGATCTTAAATAGCCACTTAGCGGTTTTCTAACGTAATAGTAATGATACTACCGAGGTAATCTCCTTTAATCTCTAAATGGTTATAATTTCTCTAAGAAACTTCTGTAAGGCGATATCCATAACGATTAGAGCTGAAATATCTTCATAGAACTTCTTATGCGGTCAGAGTAGACGAGAATAAGGTGCCTTTGAGCTTTAGCGGAATTGAAAGTTATTGAATCTAAGTAGCGGAATTGGAAATTGATAGAATTTCTGAACCATCTTAACGACAATTTTCGCTGGGTCCACTGACATTGACATTAACGAATAGGGTAATTAATACATTTCCCAAGGAGCTCTGTGTGACTAGTTAAAAGGCCTACATCTTTGTCGGCAGGCAAGCGAGTTTCAAAACAATAAGATATCAAGTAACAACCTTGGTAATTGTAAAGAATTCTGAGTCTACTTAATATCACTAGGCAGTCGCTTTCTGCTGGGTTGCTTGGTATAGGAATATGAAACGTGGCGAAAGCGCTAATTCGAAGACTTAATTTGGCTATTAAGTGCGAATCATTAAGGTGGACAACTCTAAAATGCTATGCTTCCGTGAACGTTTAAATAAAAATTACAAATACAGATGAAGTAGTTAGAGCAAAACTTATAAAGAGGTAATAATTGTCATATTGACTCAAATATAGCGTCCAATGAATAGTTTCTCTTACTAAAGAACTAACGTTATGAAGACCGGCAGATATCCTTTCACCACTTTCTGTGTTCATGTATAGGACAGAAGTCGAAGCGACTGCTGCACTAGAGGTCACGCAATAGATGCTGAATGTGCTTTATCCGAGACAGCCGGTAGTTCAGTTCCTAGAGGCTGAGAGCATAAAAATTCCGAGTTTACTTTTTCACATGCATTTTCGGACCACCCTAGCGCACATCCTTCTAATTAACCGAACCTGATAGGCTACTACAAGTTATGGTAACGTATTAGAAACACAGGGCCCACTGAAGCACGAGCTGCAGTTTTCACTAGCTGGCTTAGGAAATACCTAGAATATCCCTGCAGGAAATGTATCTAACTATAAGATAACTTTAAGTTGATTAGGAAGGAGCTAAAAGTCACTATTATCTGTATATTTTTTTTGACGAAAACTAACTATATTTCTATGGCGATGGCCGCGAAATAGTCAAGGGTGGTTACCTGTGCATTTGATGCAACTTACTACTTTTGGGCATAAAATATCAATACTTTTTTACTTTATTTATTTTATTACATTTCATATTTGTTTACATATTCTGCTGTAGGTGGTCCCATATTCGAACTCCGTCAAATATAACTTCAAAATGTTAATATGAAATTTCGATCTTCCTTTTATTTGTCCTAAATTCGAAAAAGTATTTGCGAAGTGCAGGATATTTAAATACAAAAGCGTTTAAAGAAAACAATCTCCCGCATTATATTACTAGTCAAGTAGTTCAAATTAGCTTTTTGTAGCTAACTACAAGTCATATATTTTATAGAAATCCCGCGAAAAAGCTAACTACGATTGGGCTGTTTTTTATCAATTGGTAATTTTTTTCTGCGGGGATATCTGTGGTACACAACTACTACTCGGTAGTACTCTGAAATGCATTCACCTTGAAAAAGGTCTCAGCCCATACGTCCAGGGTCTAAATCTTGTCACCCACAAAAGTGCGAAATCGGCATGTCTGATATATTTATATTGCACTTATTGTACAGTATGTTTAAAAATAATAAATTATGCAGTAGGTAATATTAAAATATATATATTTTTAAATTGAAACTGAATATTCATCAAGAGAGAGTGTAGTCAAATTAGAAGATTTTTTTCCATCATTCTCAATAATTGGTTTTGCATACTGCGAAAATAGTCGCAGGAAGAGTACAACTTGATTTGTGGAAATTAAGATCCTACGGAACCACCGTCATCTAGAAAATAGAGGTCTTCAACGTTTTACTTCTTCAAGGGAATAATCATTTGAAGATATTAACTAAATAAACTTAACCCAACGTTATTATTTATACCTGGTAATCAGCAAGAAATTTATCCCATATTATTCGATTTTTTTGTTGGTTAATGCGTCTTGTTTTTGTTAAAAATTCTATTATATGCCCCTAAATATATTTTTTTTTAAGATTTCCATGCAATCGGCAGCAAATCTTTGTTTTCACTGACCCCTATTAAAATTTGATATTCAACTTTTTTGGGGCACAAATATGTTAACCCTCTAGCGGCAATTTTTGAAAAACTGTTATTGTAGTTGTTTAAGGGTTGAAATATTCTAGAAAAAATGTATTTTGAATTACATATGTATAAAACCATTTTATGCATAAAATACTAAATGTATATCGGCAAAGTCCTTTTAATTTTAGAATTATTGTTTGAAAAATGTGGCGTGCAAATTTGTCACACCACTTTTAATAGCATTAAACTTTATCAAGAAAATAAAAACACAGTCTACTAATTTTTGGAGCTTTTTTAAATATTTTATAGCAGTTTACTCTTCAGTACAGTGGTGAGAAAAATGTAAAAAGAGCAAGAGTGCTCGTCGAATCGACGAAGACTACACGTTTAGGTTCAATATTGGATGTTTTTTTGGGACGAATTTCCGTGATCCCTTGTCAATTTTGATTTCGAAACAACAGCAAACAAAAAGGAAATTAGAATTAGACTTTTACAAAAAAGTGTAACCTTTGACCCACTGTAAAAAGAATTTTCACAGGGTCAAGCAAAACCATTTTGGGATTGCACTTCTTCGTACGAATAATAACGGTTAAGCATAGTTTGGTTGAGCCTTAGCAATGGCTGCCCCCGACAGCTGCAGAACAAGTTGGCTACCCGAACCCACGAAGCTTCGAAAATCCCTGCGACTGTCATTAACGTATTCAAACAAAAAAAAAAAAAAATAAATTGTTGACAACCGTGCAAAAAATCGTCAGTTTTTTCGTTATTTGACTGTAATACTAACCGATGGGAGATTTTTTTAATTTTTAATATATTTTTTTTTTTGCTTTACTCTGTAAGAAAATCTACCAGAAATAAGTACTAAACTTCATTGCCCACCGTATACGCAGTTGTTTTTTTTTTGTGTTTTAACCAGTTTTGACTGCCTTTTCAGTTTCGGGGAGCTTTTGTAATGTCTTTAAATTTTGATGGAATTTTAATAAGGGTTCTACATGTAATATAATTTGTAATTATTATTATTATTTTTTTCGTTTCTTATTATCAATATATCTATGCGCTTGTTTTTTCGTTTTTATTCACTTTATTTTTAATTATTCAGAATTGTGTTTTATGCCTTAATGTATTTAAGTATATTAACTCTTAAATCTTATAACTGATATTTTTAACTATTAATGTACTATATACTCAATCTAAATTAGGGTTTTACATCTTGCATTTGTGGCTTTTGAAATTTAAACACATTTTAACAGCTAGCTTGAATTTATTTTTATTTTTTTCTAACTTTCTGCTTCAGTTCACTTTGACTCTATTTGCTTCGTGTTGTTTTCACTTATTCTATTCATTTATTTGTTACTTCATTGATACTCACATAGCTAGGGTTTCATATTGATTGAAATTAGCTCTTTAATTGGTAACAAAATCTTAACTTATTTCATTACAATTAATGGCATTTTTAGTTTGTATGTGTTGAATTTTTTGTTAGTTTTTATTTTTTGTGTGTGTGTTTTTTTTTATTCATGAAAATGTACAAAGTTAGCGCAAATAACTGAGCTGGACAAAGTTTTTTTATATACAAAAATATTTTACAACTAAATTTCGGTGAAATTTTATTTAAATAATAAGCATAATTTCATTTTATTCATATAAATACGAATACTTTTTCAATTTATTTAATTTATACATATGTGGTTAAATGGTTTTTTTTTGTGATTTTTAATCTAATAATTTTTTTTTCACAAATAGTAATTTACAATAATTATGTATCAATTAGCTTTTTTTTTGTATTCCCACATTGCTGTAATGCTATTTACATTTTTTGCTTACATTGCACCATTTTATGTCCGATTAGTTTTTATATATTTACTGGAACACTAATTAATAATACAATTAAATTGTGCTAAAATTTATTATTTACTGCTAGTTATTATTTTATTTTATTAATCTGTTTTTACTCTCTATGCTTTGCTTTGCTATTAGATCTAAATTGAAAATATCTTAAATAGGATTATTTTTTATATTATTCGTTAAGTCAAATTAAGGTTTTAGTCTTAAGTTAAGAAAATGCGTCTGAAAAAGAAAGAGAGAAACAAATGTTTAAGTTAAAAAAAATCGCATATCTATAATATGTAAGTATGAAATGCAGTGTATGAAACAGTGAAATTAGTGCCAAAAATGAGAAAATGGCAGAATTTTTTTGAACACTCCTAAGCTAAGTAATATGATAGTTCGAGTACACTAAAGCACCCATGTTCCAGGTTTATGTTTTAAACGAGCTAAAGACGATATATCCGATAATCAGTTTGGCTTCCGAAAATATAAATTTTTTACCCAGCTGGCAGACGACGCAAAAGGTTGTTCGCGTTAGCTCGGAGGTCCTAAGGAATATTGCTTAAGGGCTAACTATAATATGAATAAGCAAGCGTATGCAAACGTGCGAATACACATAAATCCTATTCTGAAACTATAATGTGCTTAACATCAAGTTTCGTCAAGTTTCGCCAAACGTCATTTGCTTAAGGAAAGAGCGATACTGATCGCACCATCCGTACGGAATCAGCTGTTTGTCCTCGCACGTATGTATGTACATATGTAACACATGCAGTGTTGCCGCATTGTTTTTTTTACCGAAATTGGTAATTTTTTCTTTATTTATCATATTTGGTAATTTGGTAACTTATTTTTCAACTTGGTAACTTTTTCGATTCAGTCCTACATGTAACACAGGTCAAAAGAAGTTCTGGTTCCACATTATGAAGTGGACCGTAAGCGTTTCCTTTTACAGAAACACCAGGCTATCCTGAAAGCTTCGCAGGGCGAACAGTTCTTCGGCGTTTCTAGGTTACTAAAATTGTGTTATATCTAATTAAATGTGGCAACACTGAACTCATGTAAGTAAAATATAGCCACCTAATAGTCTACACTACGTTGCTTATGCATTTGACAGACTTTTCGTTCATTTTCTGACAGTCAGTTACGGCAGCTTATTCATATTATAGTTAGCCTTTAAGTAGTAACCCTAGACATCGAAAATGCGGGGTACATTTGGGGTCAAGAGAGCCGGAGGAGCCTAGTATTATGAGAAAGAAGGATCTACATATAAAAAAATAAATGCGGTCTTTTACTAAAAAGTTCATTGTGATGCTACATATTGGCTGAATTTCTTTATTCATTCTGAACATTTGGAATAAACTTTTTTGTTTATTTATTCTTTAGAACATTCCTGATGATATGTTGACGTATATTTTAAACGCATTCTGTTTATTCCGGCTGTGAAATCGGATTATCCGGAATGTATAAAGAAACGCAGCCATTATAGTAAAAAAAAAAAATAAAAGTCGTACCTCGGGCTGTCCCCGTTCCGATTCTAGTAATGCATTTACAGCCGTTCCTGAATATTTTTGAAATGTCAGTTAGGCTACTCTGAACAGTGGTTAAAAACCGAAATTTAATGTTCACAATTCACTGAAGCCTTCGTTATTCACACAATTTAATTAATTTGTAAGAGACCAGTTGCGCCAATTTGTGAATTTTTCTTTGTTTGTATTAAATTTTTTAGTGCAAAGTGCAGAAAAAGTAGCAGTTTTGAAGAAAATCGTTTCTCCTGTTCCAGTTAACAAATGTAACATAATAAAAACGAGTTGAAAATAATCGTAGGGCGCTCCCAAAATTAAAAAAAAAAATCACAAAAAAAAATTTGAAATGTTTTATACAAAATTTTGATCAAAATTAAAAAAAAACAAGTAAGAAAGTCTAAGTTCGGGCGGAGCCGAACATTAAATACCCGGCGCAAGTATTAAATATATGTTTCTTCACCTTTCCGAAACCTACCGCTAGATGGTAAACCGGGGTGTATCCATTTTGAGTAAATTAGCGTCCTTACATTTCGAAAGATTGAAGTTTCAAGCATTTCTGAAATTTACTGTGATATGAAAAGCAGCCGTAATTTTTGTTCGATTTCAATAATTTTCAACGTTTTGCTTCTATGTGGCAAGCACAATAACCACACCGAGTTTGGTACAGATTGGTAGAACGGTTACCGAGATACATATATGTTATCAAAGGGTGGGCGGTGCCACGCCCATTTTTTAAATTTTATCCTAAGCGTGTTTCTTGGTAAAGAATTGTTGCAAGCATCAATTTTGAATAAATTAGCTTCAATAATTACTGATTTATCGAAGATTTTGTATTTCTCTAAATTACCGTTATATGGGATGTGGGCGTGGTTATTGTCCGATTTTAAAAAATTTCGGCCTATTCGTATGTTATACCAAGGTTAACAACTGTGCAAAGTTTGCAATAAATTGATGCAGCGGTTACCAAGATATACACATGTAACCATAAGTGGGCGTGGCTACGCCCATTTTCAAAAAAATGTTAATATTCTTATTTTTCGTCTAAAATTTATTATAAATATCAATTTTGAGTGAATAATCTTCAGTAGTTACTAAAATATCGCACTTTTCGTATTTCTGAAAATTACCGTTATATGGGAGGTAGGCGTGGTTATTGTCCGATTTCGCCCATTTTCAATACCATCCGTCCCATGCCCAAAAGAAGTCCACGTACCAAGTTTCGTTAAGATATCTCAATTCTTACTCGAGTTATCGTGTGCACAGACGGACGGACGGACGGACGGACGGACGGACGGACGGACGGACGGACGGACGGACGGACGGACAGACAGTCACCGCTTAATCGATTTCTCTTTTCATTCTGATCATTTATGTATACATTTGTCTATATCTATCTCGATTCGTTTTGCCTGTTACAAACAACCGTTATGTGAACAAAGTTATAATACCCTTGTGCACAAGTGCGCTCGGGTATAAAAATTGTTGAGTCTCTAGAAAAAGGTGGGGTATGCAGTTTTATAGATCACTAAATTTAAGTAAGTAAAACAAAGTGCAATTTGAAAGTGGCTAAGAGGTCGCGTTGATTCTTACAGTGAACAGAAATTTTAATTTTGAACCACTGTGCTCTGGTGCGCCAGGCCTCATTTCTACCTTAGAATGCCCATACGACGCTACTTCGATGACCGCTGGCGAGTACGAAACCTCGCCAAGTGTGAAAACTCGAAAAATCTCAAACGGCGTTTCCGCACGCTCTGTGCTGGTTCATTTGCTTTGGAACATTATATGCGACGGAGTTTTTCGCCTTAAAATGCCCAAGGCGACCGAGGTAATTGGTTTTGCGGACGACAACGCGGCTTATTGATGTTTTCGGGACGAATAAGGCTGACATCAACGCCATCAAAAAAAAAAAAGAGCTGAACGGGGCAAGGGGGACTTGCGACGTATACTGCAGCCGCCATGTAAATTCAGTCGCAGAGTTTTTCTTGGTAAATGTGAACCCGGGGGGTTGAAAAAGTCCATTTTGTTTGCAAAGTTCAAGCTTCGTTTTTTGGTAGGAGTTCTGTCAGATCAGTGTCCGCTCGCAATTCACAGTTTGCGACTTTCTGTTCATTACTAGCATAGCTGCTTTTTAAATTAAGTAGTGGAATCATCTCAACATGCTTCACTAGATTTTCCCCGAGTAACTTGACTCGCAATTTACATATATATAATCCCAATAAAATTTCGAGAATTGATACAAATCGTACTGATAACTAAGTGTCCACATTTGCGCCCAAATCGTTATGACCAACGCTGCTTTTCTTGAGTCAAATACTTGCAAATTTTTTTTATATATTTTGGTATTCCTTAACCCTCCGACTAGTTACTTGAAATACGCTTAACCATATGTGGTGGTCTGACAGACCACAAAGTATTGTATAAGTGGGACTACCCAAGCAAAGTTATTGGATACACCAAAAGTGTTACAGTGTTTATTAAATATAGAAACAACAATGAAGATTTGTTGCATAAATGAATTACTGGTAAATTTATTAAATTTGTATGTCAATACAAAGAGCATTATATTCATATAAATCCTTAGTTTTTGGAACCCGTTGGTATTTCCTTAGCAATGCATGTGTTTTTGTTGTTTTAGTGGCGACTTCGCTTTGCCTAAATCGGCTGAACCTTCAATATTTTTCGTCAGGCTCATCTAACTGTAGATCCAGGAAGTGTGCCACTCCAACTGGATTGGTCCTTAGGGAGAAGGGCGTTAGTTGAGTTGGGCTTAGGCGGCATGCGATGAGATATCTCGAGCCGTGAGTTGACTCTCTGCATGTCGGGAATACATTGGGTACTGCTGCTTTTATCCTACTCAGGTAGGAGTTTATCCTGCTGCAGTAGACAAAGCGAAGTGTTCCTATGTTGGTTCGAGTCTCGCGAGACAGATGAAGCACTGTCTCGCCAACGTCAGATGGCTGTATTCCCAATCATCATGCAAAGATCGGATGTTGGTTTAAGTAGAGACCGACTCCTTAATGCCGTTAGTAACCTATCGGTACGGTGTCGGATCCAGAGGTTGTTCTACGAACCTCTGTGATTCGTCCGCTAGCTCATATATATACCTTTTGACGTGCCTAGGAGAGGCTTCTGCGGCAAGCAGGTGTCTGTTCGGGTACCCACGTCTGTGGAACCCTACTAAGAACTGCCCGCAAAGCATAGTTTTGTGCTTTCTGAGCCTCGTTACGTAGCTGGGGTTGTGGCGACTTCAGAAGCCATCCGGTAGTGGTCCCGAGTACCGTATTTTAGCTTGTCTGTAGAGACGTCCACCGCGTCTTGCTAGTACCCGCCGACTACACGGATGATGTATAGTTTAGATGTGTAACGTATCTTTCTTTAATGTGAATAACAAACAGCAGACTTAAATTTCATAGGACAACCGGCCGATTTGAGGCAGACGGTGCATATACAGACAATTACCTTGGAATGCTACCGAAGGAAATGTAGGCTAAATGAGCAAAATAAGGTCCATATTATGAATAGTACTAGGTTAATTTATCTTGGTCTGACAGACCACAACCTGGAAAAGCGCACAAATAATAAAAAAACTGCTGTCATGAGACAGTTTGGCGAAAAATGTTGTGGAACCCATTTTTGGTGAATTTTTTCAAAAATGGTCTGTCAGACTAGAACGCTAGTTGTAGGGTTAAAGTAGATGGTAGATTCATTTGCTATTCTTTTAACATCGCGCAATTTAAAAGATGAATAATTAAATGGGCTAAGCCAGGGCTTACGCCAAAGGAATTAGGCCCTTCTAAAAATACCCCCGTAGAAATGTTGCTGAAGGCTCCCAATTTCTAAAAAAAAACTATAGCTTTTTCTATAACCTGCAGCGTTCATAATGAGCTTGACTTATAGGTATGTAAATATAAAATTAAATTCTAATCCTATAAGCAAATGTGTATTTCTTTCAGAAAAGGCTTTTTAGTTTTCCACTCACCTTATACCCAGCGTATTCACCAGCACACACGGGGCCAAGAGATATTTAAATATCGCTGCAATCCGATCGGCCGAGGAAGTTTTTCGTGATATAGCCGCCATATTATCGCCTGCAAGAAAAAAACAATTTAAAAAACAAAGTTACAAAGTTACATTAGCAAAAATATCAAAAAATAGTACGTCTAGTAAATATAAATGCAAATTGCAAATGAAAATCCAGATGCAAATCTGTGAAAAGTGAATTATTTCCCGTTTTTTATTTCCTAACTATTTGGCAACAATCAAAATTGCAAGCATATTGCTTGCGGAGTATATTTGCATAAAATTTCATCTAAATGCAAAAATTGCAACTATGGCAAATCTGACAAAAAAAGGTAAAAAGAACCAAACCGAGTAAATGAGAAAAAATTCGATGCAAAATTTGATGGCAAGTGGGTAGTTTGCATGTGGAAGCAGGCTGGGGTCACTTGATTGAGAGCAGCTGTTGTCCACATTAGCACGTTTAGTTATTCTTTTCAAAAGTAATTGACTTTTAATGAATAGATTCCACAAAATGTAAAATTGTAAGCTGACAAATATTTTGTGCGCAAAAAAAAAAAAACAAAAACAATTTGAAATACTGCATAAAAACTCTGTTGACTTTATTATTACTGTACAATGTGCAATTTTAAATACAATCTCCACTTTAGTTGGCACATTTGCAAATTTCGCTTGAGCATTAAAATAAAGTACAACTAAATCTTTTTGCATATATTTCCACTCACCTTTCGACACGAAAACGTAAATGCTCGCTGGCTCTGTATTACTGGCCGAACACGTATAATTGCCCGAATCAGAAATTTGCGGCTCCCGTATGATGAGACGACTTTGTGTTCGCGGTCCAGGTGTAGTTTCAATTGAAATGTCACGCCTCGAATCGTAATAGTTTATAAGGCGATCGTTTTTCTGCCAATATACGTATTGTGGTGGAGTTGGACTCTGAAATGTAGAACAGAAAATGTATAGTTAATGTGTTTTCGGGGTATTCATGTAAGCGGACTTGAATGTATTTTTTTTTACTGTGTATAAAAGATTTTAAGCAAAACTTATTAAACAGTTATGCGTATTTTATTGCAGCTCCTGTTTCCTAAAGTGTCAAACAAAAATCCTGCTTTTATATATATCATAGTGGGCCACTCGTTTAGATTTAGAGGATGTGTACTGCGACCTTAGAGCTCATCATAACACATCGTCCAGCCATAGTGCTCTGAAGAATCCAAGCAGTTTTGAGCGCGGTAGGGAGTGAATATACTTAACCTCTGGCTACATCGTTTCCAGGTGTGTTAATCTTCTTCTTGTAAAGGCATCGCATTCTAAGAGGATACGCAGTGCGGTTTCTGGTACCAAATAGCAATACCGACACAAGTCGTTTGCACAAACCCACAGGGTATGCATATGGGCCCGCACTCTGCAGTGATCCGTTAGCATCCCTCGTATAAATCTCAGGTTAATCTTTCGAAGGGTTATTAGTTCTCTAGACCTTTTGGGGTTATAAGTTCCAAGACGTTTTTGTGCCTGCCCCTCAACCATTTACCCTGATTTTGGAGGAGATCTCCAGGTGTTAGCGACCGTATGAATTCTTCACTTGGCCAGAGTTGGCCTAGGTGCCCCTCCCGTCTATTCTCAACTACCTCGCAACCGCGAAACAGATGCAGAGGAGTCTCCTCAGTAACATTGCAGAAACGACATTGGTCGGTCGACCAGATACCTAGCTTATGCAGGTGACTTTTCAGTCTGAAGTGACCCCTCAGAAAACCTGACAATATCCTTACACTCTCTTTGGGGAGGTTTATTATTGCCCTATACCTTGTAAGGTTGTAACCTCACAGTAGGCTTATAGCATGGCGTAGGCCTTCCATGTTATGCGAGTGTAGATTCCTTACTGTGTTCCTTTCCTTCCTGAGCTATTCCTTTATTGTATTAGGTCCAATCGCTATTAAGGGCTCGGGCCCTATAGGCGACGAGGCGGCTGCCTTTTAGAATGACCACGTTTTAGCTTTCCCTGATTCCATATATACACATCTGAAGTTGCCTTTTTTTGCCTTTTTTAATATATTCCTTAAAAATACCTTAAATGCCATCACTATTATATGAGGTTAGGTTAAAAGTCGAAAATATGAGCCAATTGTTAATTGCTCCTGTACGCGCTTTCTAGTGAACACGTTGCGCGCATAGGCGGTGACCGTGCATGGGTCACGATGCGTGCGCGCTGTGACAAATGTTGTTGTAAGTCAAAAACAGAAAAGATCTAACAATTTTTTCTTTTACAAATATTTTTTTCACTAAATGCAGTTTTCGCAAATATAAACGAAATGGAAAAAACTCATCGAGAACATATTTTTAATGCAACTTGAATATTTATAGTGTTTGAATTAAAAAAAATATATTTTTTTCTAAATTGTAAATAATATTTTTTTTAAAGCTCTAATGTCACTACGCTAACAAAAACAATTTCATCAACTTTCGTCACATACTTTAAGAGAAAATGAGTTTTGAAAAAAAGGTTACTTAAAAATAGATACATTTGATTATAAAAACTATAAAAATTAAAATTTTTCAAAAAAATTCTCAGAATCCCTTTCACATCTATAAAGTTGGGAAATGTTCACCCAACTAATTTCGTGCTCTGCAATACGGTGGCTTACATTCGAATGTAAACGTGTCGTCAGATATTATTGATATTTTAAACTAGTGCTGGTACTTGTTTTTAATTTATTGACTTCAAGCGAATGTCATATTAAAAACTTTTGCTATGTTTTGTGACAATAAGGAAATATCGAAGGGAGGAACCATTTCTAGAAGTTTATGTTTACTTCGTCATAACCCTAAAAAAGCCAAATATAATACTTGCTATGGTTTTATGCTACACTTTAATATAATCATTTAAAAAAGGCCACAAGAAAATATGCATAAGGCTGTTGGTATGACATACAAACATTTTGCTGATTGGTAGCTACATATTAGAGATACAGTGGCAGTGCATAATTCACACGTGCCTACTAAAACAAGGCTGAGTTTTCTATTAAAGTGATTTATTATTTTAACGATAGCATTCGATATTTTTTTTTATATGTATATGAGTCAAAAAGGAAATTAAACAACTGGACAAAAACAATATATGCGCTTAGGTCATCAAATGCATACGAAAACTTCATAGCCACACAAGCAAATATTTCATACATACACGTGCATGTGTGCGTGTACGTCTACGAGCGTTTGAGAAAAACACTTGAGTGCAAAAGTTACCAGAGACTTGTAGAAAATTCCAAAATTGAAAAATTTTATTTGTCATGCAAGTGCCCACTCTACAAATCAAACGAAAATACACAACCGCCCACAGATAATGTCGATGCAGCAAACTCAATAAAAAAAAGTTAAACTTTTTCATAAAACGTAAGGAAGTATTTTGCAGCGCGCTGGACAGTGGTCAGTTTTTTTTAAAGAGAGTATGAAACAAAAAAAAAAAAACTGCTGTTAAATTTTTTCGATCTGCACTCGTTGAGAGCTAAGCGCGTTTGAGTGTTTGTGCCGTCTGCTTTTCTGGCTTACTTTGAATACGCAATCCCGCCGCTTGCCCTGCTTTACTTCCACGTCACACCTCACCGCATGACTTAGGATATTCACTTTGTATTCGTATTGCTGTTGTGCGTTTGCGTGCGCTGCATTGCAACGAAGTCATGAGCATACATACATATCATGCATTCCATTTATATACATATTTCCGTGTGTGTTGCATGGCTCAGCAATTCAGATGCTCTACTCAAAAGCTGCACACTGTTTGTTCGCAAACTTTGTATGAGCATACATATACATATATATATATATATGCGAATATGCGCCTGTGTTTAACATGCTTTTTATGTATGTATGCGGGTGTGTCGAGGTGCATGTTTGCGAGTATGCGGTTGCATGGGTGCGGCAGGTTGCACAAATTCAATTACCACACAGTAAAAACCAGGCACAATGTCGTATGCTCACAGGGCACACCCACAAAAGGCAAAAACATTCAAACATACATATACTATGGTGTGCTGTTTTTGTGTGCGCATACATGCGTACTAGTACGTGTTCAGCAGCACCGATGCATTACGCTTTTTCATTTATGCGGTGCATGGTCATTCCTTTAGCGCTTCTGCCCGATTTTTTAAAGCTATTTTTTCGGTAGAAACACATTTTTTGTTGTTTGGCTTCGCATGAGCAGCCATGCCGTTTTATCTCCGTTTTTTTTTGTAGACGGATATTTGGTCAGCTATTCGCTCGTACATGCGAGGTATGCACACACAAGTTTTTGCTTTTAAGCGCCACATTGATGAAACGGTGAATGGTGGGGATTTCATTCGTAGACTGCTATTGAAAGGGTCGTATGTAATAAAAGATCATAAGGATTTATCTCACTTATACATAGCGGATTTTATGAATTCTTTGAAAAAATAAGCTACCCATTTTTCGGTTTGTTGAACTTCGGTTCATATCGATTTTTGATGGTTGAGGTTTTAAGATAGATTAAGTAAAATTTGAAAGAGTATTCCATTGAATAAAAAAAAAATATTTTGAGTGAAATGTGATATCATCGTTGGTTGGGTATCGGGTATGGCCGGCTATACGCCATGGCTACTCTTGCGTCCTCACTTAGGTTTTAAGGGCAAGCACCTGGAATGTCCGAACCCTTAATGGTCAGATGAGCGCATGCCCGACGATTGGGTTTTAAAGTGTTCTCTGCCCGATATACAAGAAAGCCGACCCCACCATTCGCGCCAACAACCGCGGGATCCGCCCTCTAAGCTTAGGATACAAAGTCTTATCGAGCGCATTGTGTGAAAGACTGAAGCTCGCCGTTAACGAAATCATTCGGCCTTATCAGTGTGACTCTGGTCCTAACAAATCCACCATACACAATGTATTTACAATAAGCCAAATCTTAGAAAAGAGCCGTGGGAAAAGGTTCGGAACTCACAATTGTCGACTTCAAAGCCGCTTTCGATAGCACTAAAAGGAGTTGCCTATACATCGCGGTGTCTGAATTTGGTATCCCCGCGAAAAAGATAAGGTTATGTAAAATGAAATTGAGCAATACCACCAGCTCCATAAAAATTGGGAAGGTCCCCTCCGAGCCGTTTGCTACCAAACGATGCTTCAGATAAGGCCACTCCCTTTCATGTGTTATTTTAACTTTATATTGGAGACGATAACAAGAGCCGCAGAACTGAACCACTCAGGAAGAATTTACTACAAAAGCGTACAATTGCTGGTGTATGCCGATGATGTCGATATCATCGGTAACAAAATCCAGGTTAGATAAGGCAGTAAAGCGAATAGATCTGGTAGTAAACGAGGACAAGATGAAGCATCTTCTGCCATCGTTTGTTTTGATATAGCAGCGGAGAACAGCGACCGAACATAATAGTTATTGATGAAATCTGTCATGGAAAAATTCACTAAATATGAAGGAAATATTCTACATCTAAGTGATACATACCAATCGATTTCTTTTTTCACCGAGACTCAAATTTTAAAATAAATTTGTATTTGCAATTTTTATAAAAAACTACAAAAATAACAATTATTTTTGGTTTTTATATTACAAATCCAAAATAACAAATATTTTTAATTTTTTTATATTATGTGTCTTAGATAACAGTTTATTTTTATTTATAAAAGTCATCAATAAAAATCAGTCCGTGAGGTTTACTTTTAAAAGTCATCAATATGAATCAGTCACCGACTTTTATTTCTTAAATCATTCGTATAAAAGTCATGAAAATTTTTCGCAGTTAAGAAGGTGTTGCGAGGCAAAAGTTTACTACGACTTATACAAATGACTTTTGTAAGTTTGATTTAAAAAATAAAGGTCAGTAACTGATTTTTATTTATGACTTTTATAAACAAAAGTCTTTGATAACTGTTATATATATATTCTCTCATCCCTTGAGAAAGTTGGTTTGAAGACAAACCGGATTTGCTGTTGTGCCATCTTCAGTGTTCTAACGAACGAAAAATTACACTGAAGATGGCACATCGCTGTAACCGGTTTGTGTCCACACCATATTTGAAGAGGGGTGAAGGAAAGTTTTCCGACAATTTAAACTTATGGTTTAATTATTAATAATTAGTTGCAACTTTTTCTTCTTTTTTACTGCCGTTTTTTTATGACTTGTTCCGTGTTTTGACTTTAAATTAGATATTATATGCGTTCACGTCCTATTCTTGTTCCAATTAAATCAACTTGGGTTTTACCGAACAAAAACTTCGGAATTACACTCTACCAATCCACGTAAACGGCACATTTCAGATTTAAAATATTAATTTAACTACTTCAATATCTTCTCTCTCAAACATCGTGCTTATCAAAAAAATTATATTCTTGATAACAAGTTTTCCTATGAAATCTCGACACGAATTAATTTTAAACTGAGCCACAAAATTTGGCATGCTTTGGCAGAAGGACTTCAAAACTCTTTGTATGAGTACTTCTGGCGAATACTCCAAGCAGCTAAGAGCCAAAAATTGAAACGGTATGCAAAGTAAGTGCAGGCAAAATACTTAATGCAGCATGCGCTGCAACAAAATGCCAGAGAGCTTGCAACAATATATTGCACACTCGTAATTTCAATAACTTTAGTAGTTGCGACGGTGGTGGCAGCGGCAGCGGCAGCAGCGTAAGTAAACGAAAACGGTTTTCGCTCGGATTATTTACTTGGAATAACCGCTGCGGCCATAGCCACTACCACCCACCTCACGCGCACAACCATACTTAGCGGCAATAAAATCAACAGCAAACGTGGCGTAAAAGGCATTGAAAGCATTGCTGTATGTTTGAAGTTTAGTATTTTTATTGCAACAGTTTTCACGTTGTGGCATATGTACACATGCATATATGTACCTAAAAACGGACATGTACATAAGTATATGTACAGATATATACTCCAAATATGGACATTTGTATATATTTAGGTATGATTTTCTTGGCCAACAACATCAATTGCTAACAATTTAACTTTAACGGCAATTCACTAAAGCAAATCTAGACCAACACACACCCAAATACCTATGTATGTGTGGATGTAAATGGGACTTATATGCACATATGTATGTATGATTTTATTGTATGTGGCTATATAAGTAATTGTAATCACCGTCGAGTGGCTAGAAGCTATAAAGGATATTGCGCGCCCTACGCTAAGTGAGTGAGCGCTGCGGCAAGTTCGCCTACATACATGTGTATGTTTTCGTAGATACCTATATACATATATGTATGTACATACATATATCGCTGTGTCCCAGCGTAAGTATTTTACTACACATTTCGCTTATATTAAATTTAATGGCACTCGAAATTGTTACAGCTGCTGTTGCGCTATGCTGCACTTACATACTTGCACTTCATTCAGTTGCTCAGCTCGCTCTTGGCGGCGTCATACTATAAATTTTCATTAACCCAACAAATTTGAATTTCTGTGGCAAGTAAACGTAAATTGTGTGGCCAACATAAATCTTAGCAAAAGTTGTGTTGAAGTGCAGTTTATGTATGTAAAGTAAATAGTCTTTGGTGTATTGGCAACTAAAAGCGCACATTTGGCATTGGTGTGTTTCGTGTTCGCTGGCCTTGGCATATATTATTTCCCCCTTTTTGCAAACGTGTATGTACCCTGCGGAAAATCAACTACTGCGAAAGCAATTTAATAAGTGCTTTTTATTAGCCATCAGTAAATAGTTGAAATGTTTAAATTTTCTTGTAAGCAACTGACTTTATAAATATGGCGATGATCTAGGAGCAAGTGAATTGTCTGAGTCTGCATGTGATGTAAATCACGTCGTAGAGAACTTTAAAAGCATTAGCTGTAATGCTGCATTTATTTCAAAGAAATTTATTTCCGACTACTTTTTCAATTGAATAATTTTTGAGACTGTCTTCTTTATTCCGACAGGGTATGTTTATGTGTGTGTGTATTTTTATTTCTTGTTGCTTACCTTTTCAATTATGCAGACGAGATTTATTGTAGATCCCATGTCGACATGCAGCTCACCGGAGCCCAGTATAAATGCCTCGGGTACGACTACTTGCAGATTCACAAAATGTGAAATGATGCCTGTCGGCGTGGATACCTGTGTGGAGGTAGGCGAAGGAAAAAACATAGTTTCATTATAAAAATTGTGTTATTTAAAAATGAATGTAGCTATGCAATGCATAGTATATGTGTATATATACGATGGTTGCCTTTTATATTTCAGGCCTTAAGCACTTATGGTGTTGTTGGCAGGGCTCCAAAATAACTCTTAACCGAAAAACCATATTGGTTCTTCTCGGATACTTATCACAATGCGCAAGCACATAAAGGTTTCCCTCGGAGAGATATATAAATGCGTGCAATATTTTCGTTGTCCTCTGAGATTTATATTTAATAATTAAAAATAAATCTACTTCGAAGAGATTTATATTTAATTTAAAAAGATAAATCTCTTTTACTGAGATTTACCTTGGAGACATATTGTAGTGGTCGCTTACTTTCGGTTATTAAGAGAGGAATAATATTGTTCACATATAAATGGAGCTGGCATTGAAGAAAATTAAATTAGAAAAGTAAAACCAAAACATTATATCTGGATAAAAAGTAAATTTTTTAATAACTTTAAATTTCATTGTAAGGGGCGAAAATTTCGGCAGTTATTCTGTCTGGTCCATCACGTAATTCTGGACATACTCCATGAACTACTCCTTTAAAGGGTAGTATATATAGTCGTATCTTTATCCAGGTACCCAGGTATGTTTATCTTTTACCGAGTAACCGGGTAGTGGGAGATTGTTATTTGGGTACCTTGTTGCGGGTTATATGTGGCAGATTCTCCGGGTAGTAGTATATTTTTTCTTGTGTGATTTTCTTTATGTGCCTAATTAAGGGTTAAAACCAAGTTAAATTAAGGCTAGTGCAATCGCTTCAAATTTTCTTGCCAATGTGCTGGAAGATATCCTGCTGTTCTCCTCTTGAATTAAAAGGCGATATACTATTAATGGTATAATCAGGGAGGCCAGTAGGGGCGCCATTAGGTGTACCACGAGGTTTATTGTAATTTTTCACTAGGCTAGTGCTATTCATCAGAGTTGTAAAATAATGAAGTCATTTGCAAATAATTACTTGATTTTTTAGCAAATGATTGCAATCAATTTTTGTATTCTATGATTAGGACTAAAAAAAATAAGTCACTATTTAAACAAAATTTTTGTGACTAATTATTAATTTGTAAAGTCTTTTAGTCATTTCTTTGCAATGATTTGAATGCGGTCTCTTTTTGAAGTCATTTGAAATCAGTCAGAAACCTGAATTTTACTGGTATTATATCAGTAAGTAATAAGCTAGTAATACATATATATTTTATTTTAATTTCTACGTTTCTACCTTTCTTGTAAAAAAAAACATTTTTTAATTACATTTGCTGTAATAAGCGACTTGAATTATGCATGAAATTCGTTATATGCACCGGATAATAAATTACTTCGTAATGCGTAAGTAACGCCGATGATGCAACTGTTACCGATATAGGGGCAAATTTTGTCAATGCATTTAGGGGATTTGGTATAAATATACCTTTAATATTCCTCGACGGTAATGGCAGAGATGACACTGATGCTGTGGAAGAAATGGAACTGGAAGCGAAGTCCACCATATTAGATGTGTGCCCCTTACTCTAAGTTTACTGGCTGCTACACATATACTAAGAATTTTGAATATATATATCCCACATACGGAAAACATCAGAATGTAAGTTATTTTAATTGGAATCGTTATTGTTACAAAAAATTAAATAATTTTCCAAGACAAGCGGGAAATAAAAATTGCAACGAAGTATTACTGCATTAATTTTGAAAAATATATTGCTAATGAAACTGGGTTTCATTAAATTATCCAAACTAGTGCTAAAGAAAAATTTTAACACATTAAATTTTTTAATAATTTAGCTTGTTTGCATTCATCAAAAAAATCATGTAATTTTTCTTGGAAGGACTTTTAATAATTACTAATATTTTTTCAGCTTCATTCTATTTTGTTTATTTGTAGAAAAAATCCTGTAAAAACTTTTAGATGTTTTATGAAACTAAAAGCAATGTGCATGTAACTCAGTGTGCTTTTGTTGATTTTTATGTCGTTTGTTGTTGCATACCGATTAAACAATATAACTTGAAACTGAGGTTTTACCTATTTGACGACAAATGCCGTTGAATTTGACATAGTGAAAACCACCCTTAACTTCCGCCACTATATTTTTTTACCTCAAAGTTCTACCCTCAATGTCAACAAACAATTTATACTTCAAAATAAAATTATGTAATGGGTTTTTAATGCTTGTTATACTTTCAATGCAATAAATTATTGCAATATCATTCATACAAAATTTTATTGTTTATAAAAAAAAAATGCATTAGCACTATTTCTTCGGAATTAATGCATTGAAATTTTTTCAAGCTTTAGATTTCAGAAATAAATGCATTAGGTTTTTACATTAACATTAAAATGCTATGCATTAAAAAATTAATGCATTTTTCACAACTCTGCGCTGAAATTCGTTATATGGTTCCATTAAGGCTTTGACTTCATATAAAGAAAAACTGAGCACTTTGTGTGAAAAACTAGAATTGACGAGCGATATTAGATATATGGAGGAATATTTGCAATTGCTGCAACCAAACGCAGATGCTATACAGTCTTTACAAAGAGCTAACGGCATGGTGTACGGTTTCCTTCTACAAAATACTGAAAAATTCGAGAAACCCATACAATGATGTATCTACATACAGACCTGCTGTCTGAGTCTTTTGGAAGAAGATTTTGAAAAAAAGATTCCAGCAATAGTCTTGCTTAGAAGAAGTAAGAAGAATTTATAGCCTACACGGCTGATAAGCCTTCGAAGATAACCATGCTGCACCGTTATCCTACTCTGAAAAGGGCATACATTAAATACAACGCACCCCTGCCTACCTCAGCCGCCGTGGAAAAGCTCGTGTTGTTTGCTTCATACTCCACGTGGAGGACTTCTATTAGATGACAGTTTCGAACAGTTGTTGCTGTTGCACATAAATAATGCTCTATAGGTTCCTCTTTGTTTGTAAATATTTCTGAAGCTTTTGAAATAAATAGGCTGCTATTAATGATTACATGTCGTCTGTATTCAAATTGTTAGAAATATTTTTGTGACTGCACTGAAAAATTAAGTCATTAAGTGACTGCATTCAAAAAGTGAAGCAAATGATTGTGACATCAACTGATTTAAACTGCTTTTCACTAATGCGTAAGGCATAAGTGTTTCCTACTTCATATCAATAAAAAAAAAAAATGAATAAAAAAGGACAAATGCATAATAGTTCCAAACCTCAAAAAAAAAA